AGCACAAATATTAGAACTAAATAAATATGTTTTTAGGTTTATTTATAAGTTTTATTCATTTTAAGATAAAACATAATGCTTTAATATTGCATATATATTTAGGCATGAGACTGCAAATGAGATACTTGCTGAAATAAAAAAAACATGGTGCATGTTATATCCTGGGTACCAAAATCAAGGGTTGAAATGCAAAATTACCCCCCTTAAATCAATTAAACAAATAGGACCAACGTAATTACTTTTTGTCTTATTATTAGTAATTTTTTATAAAACTTGTATACCAATTTTATAGTTGTGGATTGGTTGTATTATGCATGGCTGAACCTTTATCAGATTTTAGTGAACCTCGCGTGACAATTGATTTATTGTATAATGAAGCAAAAAAACGAGGTTTCACTAAATTAGGTGAAATGTTTTCTACTTCCCAAATGTGTGAAATGGCTGATTTATTTTTAGCTAACTGGTACAAAATTTATCATATTAATTATTCACTCATCAAGGATAAGTCATTTATTGTAAAATTGATAAAAGATGATTGTTTAATCATTATATGGTATATATTTTTAAATTTTAAGACTTGCTATACAGTTATTACATCTTCAGTAATTTTTTATTTTATTAGTTATGATGATGATCGCAATATGATGCCAACAGTTAACCAAGGACACACAGCACACTGGGCAATAATTTGTGGAATGATAGGAGAAGACCATGTTATAGCGAGACATGGAAAAAAATCAAAATATAGTGTGTGGCCCATAAATGATTTAGCAGCTAGTAATGATGGATTAATAGAAGTGAAACCTACTTTATATCTAAACATGGATCATTACGTTATACCTAAAGATGGTATTATAAAAAAAAGTCTAGCATCACAATTCATGGTTTTAAAACCAAAGAACAAATCTAAAGTAATTAATTCATTAACTATAATAATATAGAGTGCTTAATAAGTTAAAAAAATATAATTTTTTAAGAAAAAATTTTGGCATTATAAAATAGTAATGTTATTTTAACTTTACCGTAAATTTATTTTTTCCTTTGGATCACTATTAACACAAATAAAATATTAAATTAATATAAGCAGTAAAAATTAACTCTAAAGTAAAGAATTAGGTATTTCCTTATTTATTAATTTACTGATCATGCAAATAGGTCAAAAAATCAATTTTAATTCTAAGAGTATGCTATATTATAATATACATTTT